GGGGGCGGCGGAACTCACGGAGGCCACCTGAGCACACTGGCCTTTGCTGGCTGTCCTGGGAGTCCTTGCTCCTTCTGCCCCCTCTGCCTGGAGCCCATCTCCACTTCTCCTCCGGAGGCCTTTCCTGGCTCGCCCGCCCTGGATGGGAACACTGCCGCTCTGCTCCTGTGTCTGCCCTGCTGGATGGGGCTTTTCCAGCGGGCCACTTCACCAGCACCCGCCCCAGCACCCGGTACCCAGCGGATCGTCGCTCCGCAGATCTGAGTGCTTGTGTGTGCATCCGGCCTGGCTCTGGGAAAGAGCGGTGGTGCCAGGTCACGGCGGCCCCTGCTGCATGGGGCTTAGTCTGCCGGGACCTTTTATGATGACATGGGCTGGGCGGCATGGGTGGATTGACAAGTAACTGACGTGCCACACCTTCCAGCTGGAGGGTGTTAAGAAAGTCTTGTTAAATGAATGCTACAGACGCCGAAAAGGCAGTGGTGTTACTAGGCACTCACTTTGCACAGAGAATCTCCTTTACCTTCCCAGCCATCCTCCGCAGTGCACATTCGTCCCTGTTTTACAGATGGGAAAACTGAGGGTTGCAGGGTAGGTGCCTGGCCTCCCAGCAGACAGTGGTGAACTGCGGTTCGAGCCCTGCTCCGTGCAGGACGAAGCACGTGTCCCTCAGCTCCTCTCTGACATCCCTGCACGCACCTAAGAACTTTCTCATTCCCTCCCCAAACCATCCCAGACCCCCTCCCTGGACTTGTACTCTAACCCTTACGTTCTTTTTGCAGCTCCAGGCTCTCAACTCTTCCTGAGTCTTCCCCATGTTCTCTCCTGATTATTTTTCTTCTGAAGATCAAAGACGGTGGTTATTTAAAACAGGCCAGAGCCCGCAGGGTCAGGGGTGCGGGGCAGCAGCACCAGCTGAAATTGGCTTTGTCTGGAATCTGCCTGCTTGGAGCTGCAGAGAAAGGCGCGCCTGTAGAGATCAGGTCCCCTCCACGGACAGATGCCCCTCCCCCGACCGTCCCGCCCAGCCCCACGGCAGGGGCAGGTCCTCCCAACAGGCCACCTCCCGCCATGGCTAAGTCCTTGGTGTCGATGGACGGCAGCTGGGGGAAATCATTCTTTCAGGGACATCTACTCTTTCCCAAAGTGAGACTGATCTTCAGACAGGGAGTTGAGCTCCCACAGTGTGTGGAAAGACAGAAAACCCAGGATAAACCTAGCCTCTTTCTCACCGCCAGATGGACCAGCTATGAATTTCCAGGAGCCACCCACCTAACCTTCCACATGGTTGCAGTAAATCACTCGTATGCTACCTTCCGACCCTCACACCCATGGCAACCCTGGCAACCCCCACACCCCTGCAGGAGGCAGCTTGGCATCAAGAGAAGAGCTTGGACTTTGGGTTTCAACTTGGGCTTTGCCACTTGCCACCCCTGGGGCCCATGGCCATGTTGCTTTGCAGCACTGAGCTTCACTCTCTCCATCTGTAAGCCAGGGATGAGCGCAAACCTAGAGCATTTGTGTGCAGTAGGGACAAGCTCCTGGAACGTACTACATGCTCCATGTGCAGTAGTTGTGATTCTGTTGTTAACAGCCGGATCCAGAAGCAGGGCCTGTGTGACCTTTCTCTTGCCCCCACACAGGTAACGGACGAGGAGCCCAGCTCCAACCACACGGTCATGATCCAAGAGACCCTCCAGCAGGCCTCCGTAGAGCTGGCCGAGCAGCACCACCTGGTGGTGTCCTCTGACGACGTGGAGGGCATCGAGACGGTGACTGTCTACACTCAGGGCGGGGAGGCCTCGGAGTTCATCGTCTACGTGCAGGAGGCCATGCAGCCCATGGAGGAGCAGGCCATGGGGCCACAGGCCCAGGAACTCTAGAGGACACACAACGTCAGGTGGGCGCCACGGGGCAGGCCTGCCAGGCTCTCTGCAGAATGGCGCTCTCCGTGGCTCTCTCCTCTGCCATTCCTGCCCAGGCGGCCGCATGGGGCTCCTAGTCCTACCTTGGGTGGGCAAGGCGATTGGCATCACCAGCAACACAGGACCCCACCTCCAGCACAAACGCATAGACCCCCCCTTACTCTGTATCCTCTGCTTCCGGAAAGATTTTGCATCCACCTTCCACATGGCCCATACCGCATCTCCCCTTTGCTTCAAGATTCATACAGGGACCCAGTCCCCATCAGCATCTGCCCCAAATCACACTCCCAACTCCTTGACCCCGTCCAGGTGCCGAACCGTCCTCTGGGACTGCTCTGCAGCCTGATGAAAGGGAGCCAGCCAGCACAGAGAAAGTGACCTTATGGTTTTGAATCACCTCTTGGGGGGTGGAGGGGAGGGGGTCCTGGCTTTATCTACAAGATTCTACTCCCCACTCCTCCCCCCAAATCAAGGGCACTTGTTACCGGGTGCGGTAACCACAATTGATGACCCTCCCACTCCCATGACAGGTGGGGTCTTAGCTTATGTCTTAGAATTCGTTTGCTTTTAAAAAAAAAAAAAAAAAAATGCACTTTTTACTATCCACCTCCCATTCTTTGAGATGTGGTGGGTAGAATAAAAACATTCTCTGCCTGAATACTCTGGTTCCTCCGTTAGCTTGGATGGTTTACTCTTCCCCTTTCTGAATCAACGTCTTGGGTTTGGGCCCCACCCAGAACCTCCCCATCCAAGATCCAAAGCCTTAACATGCAGACGATGGTGTCCCTCCTCCCGCTAAAGCATTGTAGGATTTGCCTTGCGGCCCGTGGTTGGAGGTGAATGGTATTACCTTTTATTTCCTGGGGCCTGACACTTGATTTGTTGCAGCCGAGACATGTGCGCCCCTGCTTTCCACCTTGCCCTTGGGAGGAGTAATCAGCTGACAGAAGCTTTGTTGTTTGAGAGGCGGTCCAGGCACCATGGCAAATCCCATACCTTTTTAAGCCTCTGCTCTGTGCACAGCATGGTAGGGGCATCAGGGCAAGTCCTCCTGCGCCTTGCCCAGCCCTGGGGCTCTTGACATCATCCACCATCCGATTCACTGAGGTTGAGGTTTGTTTCCTCTGAGAACCCTTCACATGAAGTCTTAGGCGTGTATGAGCAGATGTGCAGACAGGAAGTGGCATTGCTCTGGTTGAAGAGCAGATGGAGTCGTGCACTTGGCCCTCATTGTTCGGGCCCAGTCATCCCACCCCAGCAGGGCTGGAAGGTACCTCTGGGGGAAGCGTTAAGCTGCTGCTATAAGGGAGGAAAGCGACTTCTTGCCCTAGGCAAGGAAAGGAGTTCAGAGGAAAGACGGACACTCCCCACTTGCGATGAGTTGGGGAAAGCTCCAGGGTGGAGGAGACCTGTGATCAGGCCCTTATAAGCTAGATAGGTTTTGCACTTGCAGGACTGGGGTGGAGGGACAGGGACGGGTAACAGAAGGAAAGGAGAATAATGGAGTGGAATAGCAGGGGAGGGAGAGTGAGCCTTGGGCACTCCCATTTGGCTGGTGGGTAGCTCCAAGGGGAAAGGCAGGAAGATCAACAAGAAGCCAGAACCTAGAAGAACCAGGAATGAGAGTTGGATATTGCCTTTATTCAGTAAACCATGGGGGGCTGGTGGCCCTGAGTAGTCTCAGGGTGTGAAGGGCAGAGTGGTACTCCAGAGAGGGTGACGATGTCCATGCATCAGGGTGGGCTATGTCGACGTGGTTGAGCATCCACATTAGAGGCAGAGTACCTGAGCTCAAGCCCAGATCCATAACTTCTTATCTGGGTGTCCTTGATGTTTTTCCATGCCTGGCTGAGTTTTAGTTTACTCATCTCTGAAATGGGTCTGAGAATAATTGCTAACTGATAAGATTACGGAGAGGATTGAGTTTGCAAAGTCCTTGGAGGCATTAGAGGCCCTGGCCCATACTCTGTAAATACCAATTATGATTTGTATTCCTAGGCATGGGGGAACCAGACCCCAGTATCTACCGTCTAGAGGGAGAGAGGAGACATGAACACACAACAGGAAAAGACTCAACTGAATGTGCTCAGGGCTCCGAGTGAGGCTGGAGGGAGGAGCCCGCCCCTCCTGACATGGGGCCTTTGACCAGAACTGATAGGGACACAGGATCCCGAGGAGCAGGTGCCCAGACACTCAGCAGGGACTCCTCACTCCTGCACAGCTGTCCACCTGGCTGAGTCGGGCTGGGCTAGTCCTGCATGCCGATCGTCTCAAAAGTTGGATCCGATTATTTCTGAGATGCCCGTCCAGCATGGGCCACTTCTTTGTGTCATCAGTGACTCTAATCATTAAAAAATCCTGCTCTAATTTGGAAGCTCCCCCATGAAGAGCTACCTGCCCTGGCTGGTGTTCATCGTGAGTGCGCTGGGTACCTGCTGGGCCATCTGAAGTCCTTGGGTGCTGCTCAACATAGATATGAGGGAGAAGTGGCTTTAGTGTCAAAATGTAGGTCATGAGGGCCTTGTGCGTGGGCTGGGAGGCAGGCTTCGGTTTGAGTCAGATTCCACATTTATGACTCATTGTGATGTTGGTTAACCTTTAAGAGGCTCATTTCATCCTCTACCAAATGGGGTAAATTATTGGCCCCATTTGCCTGGTCGGTTTCAAGGATTTACTGTGATGACGTGTGTCAACGTGCCCGGCACCACGTACTGTACGTAGTTGGAACAGAGCAGACGTTTACTTCCTGCTGTTGACGGTGGGGTCCTGGAGAGCCCCGTGGCAGATGACAAACAGAAGCTGGACAGGGCCATCTCTTGTCCTCACCTGTGAGCTGAGTTGAGGACAGCCGCACCCTGCCGTCCACAGTCTCCCCTCTCCTGGGCCTGCCACCATGCCTGGCGTGCATGATTCATTCACTGAGTCAGCAGAGGCCAGTCAGCTGCCTCCAGTGGCCAGGCACCGGGCTGGGAGCTGGGAGCACAACTCACCAGTGACGTGGGCTCCCGGGCCTCAGAGACTCACCACTGGGTCAGAGGGTAGAGGAATGAGCCGGTGGCCCACGTGGAAACCTCTGCAGGAGCAGAGCGGGTGTGGGGGTTGCAGCCAAGTGGGGGCGCCTGGAGGACATGGCTGCCACCTCCGATGAGCCCGGGGCCAGGCAGGGTGGCGGCAGCAGGACCAAGGCTTGAGCTAACATGGCCCAGCCGGGAGATGGCAAGTCCTAAAGACCAGAAGCCCGTGTGGACCAGCCCAGCCTAACCCTGCACTTGATGCTGGACCTCTGGGTGGGCCCTAGTGTATGCTCACCTAACCGATCAGGACAGAGGTCAGAAGGTTAAGAAACTTGCCCAAAGTCAACAGCTAGTAAGGGGCGAGGCTAGGAGTGAAAAGTGGGCTGTCTGACTTGGGGACTCGCCCTCCAGCTTTTTTCTCCATGTTTCAGCTGGAGCCTTGGGAACGTGGGGCATGGGGCTGGGAGCGATGGCCCCAGGGCAGGGGGGCAGGGACACCTGATGGTGGGAGCTAGGATCATGCTCAGCCCGGAAGAGAGGAAGGAGGAGAGGAAAGGATGGGTGGGGAGAAGGAAGGAAAGAATGCTGCTATTTAATGCCTTCACGGTATTCTTTTATATCTACAGCCTGTTTCCACCACAGGAGTCATGAAATCATCCAGCGCTTGGTGCTCCCTTTGCACAGTTCGTGGGGAGCCTTTGCTCATGGCAAATGCTGTGCAGCATTGCTTTATTTTTGCATCCCCCCACTGAATTACGGCAAACACAGCGGGTAACATAGCCCTGGGGCTGTTTGATGGGGCAGGGCAGGGGGCTGGGTCTCTAAAGTCCTTTCCTAGGGAGCAAATGCTGAGCTTGGGGGTGCCTGCTTCTCTGAGCCAGGTGGGGTGCTCAAGTGATTCGTTCCTTGGTTCTGATGACTCCCCCCTGGCTGTTTTACTTGGATATTTCTTGATCCACATTGTGTTTTGTGCCAAGAGCAGTGAAAGTTTGGGCTGGGAGACAGTGAGCTCCTGCCTTCCTGCTTTACTGTGTGTGATAACGACCCACCACGTGCCAGGTACCACACTAGGCAGCTTGCCACGCATCTCTGCGCTCAGTCTTGCCATCCGCCTGTGTCTTCAGAAGATGGGACGCCTGGTACTTCTCTACTGCTTGTTCCATGCCAGGGGGTGTGGATGTTCTTACCGATTTTCACAGCGAGGCCAGTAAGGTGCTATCATTAGAGTTTTCTTGATGGAGAATATTAGCACGGAGAGGGGAAGAAACTTGCTCAAGGTCACACAGGAAGTAGCAGAGCCAGAATTTGAGCTCAAGCAAGACCAGCACTCATAACCGAAGAACCCTGTGCCAAGGCTTCTCGCCCTTTCACAGCGGAGGAGACAGACTCGGTAAGGAACCCACCTTGGGTGACATTTGAGGCCAGAAAGTGCTGTGTGGGACTTGAACCCAGTGGGAGTGTCCCGTTTCCTCAGCTGCTTTCTGTACTCCCAGTGGCATGCGGCCTCCCCCCTTACCTTCCAGCCCTGATACCAGAAAGGCAGAGCAGGAACACGGTGTGGGGGCTGAGGTCAAAATTCGGGGGGACAGGGAAGAGGAGATTTAGAGGCAAGAGAGCAAGGTCTCCTCCACAGAGCAACAGCCCAGGAACCGTATAGCTGTGGAACAAGATCAAGTGTAAGCAGGAGCCCCAGGGGCCACCTGAGGTCAGACACGGAGTTGAGACAGGGACCAGCCAAGGGGGGGCCTGTGACATGTGGGGCTGGCCTGACCCTGGAAGACCCCTGGCCCTAGAGCCCCCAAGCGCCCCCGCAGCCAGTCTTGTCTGCCCTCAGCCCTAACGCCAACCTGCATCCAGGCAGGCTCTGTCTCCTTCTGTGGTGTGGGCTCGCCTCCATCTGTCAGCGTAGGCAAGACACACCTGGGTCTAACCCCGCTGCTTAGAACTTGTATAACTTTGGAAAGTTATATCACTTACCAATTGCGCTAATGGGGATAGAGAATTGTCATGGGGCATGAAGAGCTTCCCGGGACAAGGGTCTGCATCCATCCTTGGCACAGTCCCAGGAGGCATGGGTGTTCCCACCCCATCACGGGGACGAGGATGCCTCTGGGAATGTATAAAATAGCCCCAGAGGTAGGGAGATGAGATGACGTGTGTGATGTGCTCAGCAGAGTGTCTGCGGTGGAGGGACAGACGGCTCTGGCCCCTTGGGACAGTGCTTGGTGAGGGGGCGTGGCCCCCAGCGTGGCCCGGCCGCAGCAAGTCTGAGCCACTTTAGCTGCACTGAGTCTTGCATTTTTGAGGAGATGGTGACTCATTCTATAACCTGAATCTACGGGGCCAATTTAGCAAATTAATTTTTCTTGTAATGATTTAAAATTCATTAGCTGTTGTCACTGATGATTTTCCCATTGTTCTTCAGCTCCATGTTTCAAGGCTGGAGAAAAAAGCCTGTTTGATTAGGAATCCATCTCCCCCGCAACCCCTTGTAAAATTTCAAAGTGAACTGTCCATCTTGTCCTTGGATGAGACCCAGGCTTGCATCAGTCTCCCCTTGCGGTAATAGTTTTAAGTTGGAGCAGGAAGTCTTTGGGAATCAATTAAGTAGACGAATACTTTGCTGGAGAAAAAAAAAAAAAAAAAAGGCATGCTGAAGGGGGACTTAATTTACCATGTATCATAAAATTTTCTAAGTAAATTATTTTCGAGTCAGCTCAGCCCTTCTCTTAGCCATGACAGGGACACGTTTGCGTTTGGTTTTAAAAATTCTAATCTATCACTGTCACTGTTCCTGCTGCAATTTAAGGCTTGGGTGGTTTGTGGTAGATAACAGTTGTTAGGCTTCCTACAGGCTAAGAAGACAGTGACGGTTTGGTATATTAACTATCACAAAGCAGACAAAAGGGAAAAGGAAGGTCTGTGTAGACAGGAGAAGGACGTGTCAGGCCAGAGTCGCCCGTGGTGTCTGCTGCCTCCCCCTGCGCTCAGCCCTGGCCCTGCTGTTCTGCAGGGCTCTTGGGACTGTCCCAGAACCAGACCTGTGGCTGACAGAGCGATGTCCCTGCAGCTACGCCACCCCCGCGGGGCTCACGATGGATCAGGAGAAACTAATCAGCGCCAGCGGTAAAGCCACCTGTGATGGGCGCTTAGGTCACATGTGTCCTACCCAGGTACCTGGATGGAAATTGGCCTTGAAACACAGGTTCTGCAGGCCTTGGAAGGAAGCGAGGTTGCCGCCTGGTTTCTGTCCCTTGCAGGTCGCAGCATGTCAACTGTGATGGTCGGTAGCATCTGGGGGGGTCTCTGTAAACCTATCGGCTGGCACCGTGTGAAGAGGAAGCGTGGATATGCGTGCAGCAACTGAATCTCGGCTGTGTCTGAGGTCAGGATTCTGGGTTGGAGTCACGGGTTCACCATGAACCGGTGGGGGCATCCCATGGTCCCCTTGACCCTTGGTTCTTTTCATCTCTGACTTGGAGATCGTAGTAGCACGCTCCTCATCCAGCCCTGGGGAGGCTTCCGTGAGGTGGAGCGCGCCCATTTCCTGGCACACACAAGCGTCCAGCCCGGCTTAACTCCTGCCGCCCTTAATGATGGCTGTCCTCATCTGCATTCCATTATAACCCTGTTGCGTGCATGGTGCCAGGTAGCTGGAGGGTGGACTTCTGCCAGAGGGGCCCCAGAGGCTGGGAGAGTCCAGGGGAGACTCCCTGGTTTGCAGGGCTCAAGAGGGACAGCGAGAGCTACGTGGATGCAAGGCCCAGGGTTCCAAAGCTGAAGGGACTGGAGGGGGACAGTCAAGCACCCTCATTTTACAGATGAGCAAACTGAGGCCCCGAGAGGGAAAGGGACTCCTCCAAGTGCACAGGGCAGGGGAGCTGCCGTGCTCCATTGCCGAGGGTACATCCCGAGGAGGCCGGAGGTTCCCACTGCACTTCGGGGGAAGGCTCGTCTCCGCTCGCTCGGTCCCCTGACAGCAGCCTATGCTCTGCTGCCTCGGACCTCGCCATCCAGACCTTTTGTCAGAGGCGGGCAGGAGAGACGCCCGGGGCTGGGCCAGTGCGAAGGCACTGCTGCAGGACCAGCCCCTCCCACCGGGGGGGCCCTGGGGGGGCAGCCCTCAGTGACAAGGGGACAGTGGGCATTGCCACACTCCTGCCAGCTCAGTCCTCTCTCCGCTGTGATCCGGACACGGGGTCCCCATGCCGGGAGCCCCGACGGCCAGTGGAAGGAAGAAGCCCTTGGCGTGGACACCGCAGAGCTGGAAGTCTGGTCCGGGCCCACCCAAGACCTTGGAATAGGTCCTGCAGTGTCATGTTTCTTTGTGGCAAACGAAGCTTCTCTGGGATATTTGCAAACCTAAAGCCGCTTGCTCCCTCATCTCTTCCTCGGGCCCATGCCTGGCCTTCCTTGGTAAGTCTCTGCGTCGGGGAGGTTAGTAGTGAGCTCTCAGGGTAGGGGGGGTAAGAAATGGGAATGACACATAACGCCCTGCTGGAGGACAGGCACACGTCACCATCCTGGCCCACGAGCCATTTCCTGGGGTGGCGGCAGATGGTGGAGTGAGAGGGCCTCAGCCTCCCCCCTGCACAGCAACAGTGACTTGGTAGCCATCCGCGGACAGAGTGCCGTTGTGGGAGTCTTGGGACCCAGGCAGGAGGTTGTGAACCCGGGTGGAGCCCCAGACCTGCTTTGGAAGGGCAGGTCAGTGCTCTGTGTGGGCCCGCTGATGGTGGTGTGGCCTCAGCTGCAGACCCAACGCAGCCCCGTGCCCTGTGGACTCAGCTCCAGCTCCCCTTTTCAGTGCTCTTCCATCAGTGCTGTTGGCCAAGGAACCTGGGAGGAGTCACACCAGTTGGTGTCCCTGGTAACGGGCCCGCCAACCGTGGACCTGACCGGGACCAGCTCCAGCCCTGCTCGCCTGGGGTCTCCTCAGCCCAGGGACCCCGCAGGAACCATGGCTGCCCATCCTCTGGTAACAGGCCTACAGCTGGGACCTCAGCGCAGACCAGGCCACAGCCCTGCACCCCAGCTGCACCCCAGCCCCATGCTCCAGGCACTAGGCAGGAGAGGCCAGGCCGGGAAGCCTGGAAGGGTATCTTCTCCTTCAGATGCGCACACACCGACAGAAGGCCGCAAAGGTCCCAAAGAATCAGGCCAGCACAGTGCCACCAAAGCACTGATAAAGCTCCAACAACTGACTTTAAAGGAACGGAGATTCGTGAACCATTTGACAGTGAATCCAGAATAATCATCTTAAAGAAGTGCAGTACTGGAACTCTTTGTGTGGTTGAAATTGTGCGGTTTGAGTGCAGGGCACAGGGTGAGTTTCTATGCTGAGCACCGTGCAAACTGTCCAGTGCCGGAGATGTGTGTGGGGGTGGTGATCACGTCCAGCTGCAGTTCCTTCCACGCACACAGGGCACCAGACTCGAGGCAGAAAGTTGCAAAGGCCGCGGTGTGCACACTCACCACTCTCTGTTCCGTTCAGTTCAGCCGTGTTTATTCTGCTCTCAGGAGGAACAAGGGTGAGACTTGCACAAACCGCAGACCTCCCACCAAATGCCAGGTGTCAGCGAGGGAGGGACTTGAGGGCACCCAGCTCCCAGAAAGACACGGCCTGTTCCCCCCCACAATTTAAAAAAAAAGCAAGAACAGTCTCTGTCCCTTGGAAACACATTTGTAAAAATACATCAATAAGATTAAAAGATTCAGGACACCTTTATATGTATGCAGCGCATACACTGAAGATCAGAACGTCTGCTGGATCCGAAGATGTCTGTAAACATCTGTCCTAGGCTGCGGGGGCCCCACCTCCTTCCAGGTAGCTTCCTGTGGTAACTAAAAAGATCAGATGTCAGGGGCGCCTGGGTGGCTCAGTCGGTTAAGCGACTGCCTTCGGCTCAGGTCATGATCCTGGAGTCCCTGGATCGAGTCCCGCATCGGACTCCCTG